ATGTAAAAATACTTTTGGGGATGTACCTGCGTTGGCTTTTTTTGTTGTTGAACAAATAGTGAAAATCGATCAAATTTTTTCTTCGAGTTTTGATTACAACTTTTTTTTTTAAGCATCGGATTGTAAAATAGCCAAAGACAATTTGTTGGTTATTTAATTATCTATTGATCAGTGCTAATTGGATTATTTAAATCTATTTTTTACGATGTTATACAACAAAAAGTGCGAAAATCGCGACTTTAAACTTTAATTTTGCAACATTATTAATCTTTACATTTTTTGATAAATATTCCATAAAATTAGAAATTAAGTATCTCTTATAGGAATCTTTAACTACTTACAACAACTTTTGTTCAACATTAAAAATGACGTCACTAATAATTATCAATTCGAAATCAATTGGGCTGCCCTAAACCTTACAGTATGGCTAGATGAAAGTTTTATAATGCACTTTGTTAGGGATACTAAAAAACTTTGATATAAAACAAAAAAAAGTTTTTATTTATTTCCAACCCAGATTTCTAATGAAATTTAATTTTGCAACATAAACAACTCGTTAAAACTCAAACGTTTTATAATTTACCATGTTAAAACTATGCGTACTTAACAGAGTATATTTTAACACGAATTAAAAAAAAAGAAATTATTGCAACAACATTTAATACAACAAAAGTTTTAACATCTTACAATTAGTGTTTCTTGTAGTTGTTCAAATATTAACTATTCTTTTACTTTAAAAAAATTTTTTCTTCTTTTGCAGAGCATTTCTTGTTGTTTGGTAGAAGTTAATAATTTTCTCATTCATTGTCAATAATAAAAAGAAATTTTACACTTACACATTTTGACGTACCATACCGTTTTCTAAATGATTAGTTGAATGCAGAGTAATATTCGGACTCTTAATTTTGCCGCTAATGCCACAATTTAACAAAAAACTTAGTATTTACTTCCTATTAAGCTTATAACCAGCAAGTATAAATTTTGTGCGTTTGGAAATTTTTACATACTAATGTAACTTGTCCTAATGAAACTACATAACGAAAACACCTTTAAGGTCCTTCCGAAAAATAAGGCTTCTCAACGTTTGTGAGATAGGCAATAGGTATTAATTTTTCGCCACGCCTGTACCCCAGTTCTTAGTTTAAAATGCAGGCACCCTACCGTTCGAAGAATGGTATAGCACGTCAAAATGTTTAAGTATTGGTACATTACGTCACCAGTACACAAAGCACAAATATATGCGACCGAAGGGCGCGATTTTTGTGTGTTGCTGCTCGAGTCGCGTATAAAGTTCTTCTTACTGAGGGTGCAAAGTGCAATTTTGTGGCCGTGGGTATACATTGTGCCCAGTAACTTACTTTGAGCCTTGAGGCAGAAAAGACTTTGAGCCTGGGGGTGCAAAAACCTTTTCTGTCCGTGGAGTAATTACTAAGATGCAAAGTGTGGCAAAGTGGCAGTTGCACTGTTACGTCTGAACTTTTACGTAAACGTTGGAGCTTTTCTCACACACCTTAGTCACCGAAGTAAGTCTTCCATTTGCTTGAAATGCTCACTTCTAACACGCAGCTCAATCACCGAATTAAGTCTTACATTCGTTTACAAGATGCAACAGGACTCACTTTCCTAGTACTGAAAATACGTCTAAGTTCAACGTTAATTCCGATAAGTGGAGAAACAAAATTGCTGCTAAAATAAAAATAAAAGAATTCAAGAGTCGAAAAAAACCGTTACAAATAAAAAAAAATGCTTTCGAATATCGAAAAAAAGACAAAGAAGGCGTAACGTACGCACCCGCATTGGCTTTTTGGACCAAGGACTCACTATTGATGCCTCAACTTTTTCCCGTACACCTAATGAAGTTGAAATCAACAGTGTAGTTCACGTTCTTTTTGATTTTGAATCTGCTGGGTTAATTAAATCGTTCGAAATTCTCCAGATAGGTGCTGTTTATGGGACAAACAGTTTTGATGTGTGTGTAAGACCAACTGTGCCTATCAGTTCAGCAGCTAGTGAAAGAAATTATTTTCGAAGTATTGGAAGAGAGCTGTATTACAGGAGTGATAAAGTCGTAACCATGACTTTAATTTAATCTTCAAAAGCATACTATAATTTTCGATTTTCTGTGGAAAGATGTATGTGCATGCAGCACACGACTTTAATTTTGATGAAGCCTGTTTAATGTACAGTCTCCACAGAGTCACAATGTTAGATAAATTCGATAGTCAATAGCATACATTGCAAAAAAATTATTTTCTTGATCACTTACTCATAACTGCAGAATAACTATAGTGATGGCAGCTTGGAAGTACTTCTTATCGCCTTCGAAGAACACTTGTGCACATCAAATTATTCTTTTTTTCACCTGTGCAGTGCTTTTGGCACACTTTGCACCCTGTTAATCATGGTGCTTGAGTTGTGTAAATAATATGTATTTTTTTTACCAAGGGTGCAAATTGCTATTTTGCTCCAATGGAACACTGTGGATGCTCAATCATTTTCCAGCTTAAGTTAGAAAAGTACTTGCACCTAGAAGGCTAAAAAACAGAAGATCGTTTAAGGCCAAGGCACCAGGATCACACTCCGGATACTTGCGCTTAACGATTTTTGGATGAAAAAAAAAAAAAAAAGAAAGTTAAAGATTTACTTTTATTGAGTCAAATTAGTGCAATTAGAAGCAAGGCTCTGATTCTTCAGGATATTCACTAGAGATAGGAACCCGATGGGGAACTAACTACTCAGGCCCATACGGGCCGCTTTTATACAAAAATTTATCTACTGTTTTTGTTGCTAAAGAAGGTTTGGCAGAAGGAGTTTGTAGCCTTCTAATGACTTATGGTCAAATAGGATTGGGCTGAGTGTTTGACAGCCAATTATAAGGCAGTTATGCAGGCCACTTTTCCCGCGTTCAGCTCTTATCACGTCAGAAAGAGGAAGAGAACGGTTTTGTGTTAGTTATCTGTTTCCGTCTTTCTTTACATAGGTAAAAAGTAAAAATCATGTTCACAAATTATCCTAGTTTGCCTAATCGGTTGGTTTCGATATTATTAAGCTTATAATTATCTTGGTTAATAAAGCCAGTACCAATTTGAACGGTATAAATCGGTCTATCTGGTAAAATATTGCCGGAGGGCATTTGATGGTTGTGGCTATATTCCTCGATTTCATTGCTACTCCTTACTGCTAATATATTGGACGCACCGTTTCCAAGGTACGAAGTATCGAGTAGCGTGCGCAGTTTTTGCATAAGGTAACTAGATTATGCAATATGTTGCTGCTTTGTTTGGTGATTTGTGGCCGCACTTAAATGATGCAGTGCGCGTGTGCTATGAATATTTAATGATGTTTGCGTGTGTTGACTTCTATAAACATCTAATGAGATAGTTATTTTAAAAACAGATATGGTGCACTGCTACTCGACCATATACATTTACATGGCAGAAAAAAAATAGACGCACATTCCTCAATCAACAACAAATAGATCTAGCTTGATTTTGGTGCATTGAAATATGTAGAAGAAGAGTAAAAAATCAGATCACACCTTCTTAATTCAATGTCTGATTTCAACTTTTTCCCTTGTATTCTCAGTCAATTTTGCCCTGTTTGAGATTGATTGAGTTTTTAAAGTTTCAAGGAAATGCATTTTCTTTTTTCTTTCTTTTTCATAAGATAGCTAACTGTCCCATAAATCACATAATGAAGCTATACAATCAAAGTAACTTTATCGTTAAAGTAGGAAATTTTAACTATCTCTGGACTGCTCTTAAAATACGGTATTTGACGGTAATTTTTAACTCTATAGTTAATAAAAGCCACCAATAATCATACTAAACATCACTCAGACTCTATCATAAACGATTGCAATGCCTCAGGTTGCCTGTTCGTAGATAGCATCTTTCCAATATTGTCGATAGATATGCAGTATATGCGTATTATGAGTTATTTGAGTTATATGAGTTCTTCTTATTTAATCTGATAACTCTTTTAATATAGGTTAGCATAATGTAGTTAGCAAACTCAGATACGTAGCAGTGTTTTCCCATTTATTTTTTTTTTTGCTTTTAGAATACCTTACCTTTTTAGATTGAAATCATTACATCATCTTTATTTAAAGAGGCTTACTTAAACTTAATGTCGTCGCTTTTGTTTTTTAAACCTTGTTAAATTTTTTTTTTCTACGATTTTTATTTCTCCGAAGACATTTAAACACCTTGAAAAAAATGTGCATACTGCTATGATTACAGTAAAAAACCTGACTACTAGGTGATCAAGAGGAACCTCAAGGCTGTACTGATTATAATTTTTCTTGTGGTATAGTACTTACCCGTCAGCTGAACTTTATCTTATCTCTGTCTTTTTTCACTTTTTGAAATACTTAATAGAAAGTTAACTTTCTTAATGTTTTTTTTTTTTTTTTTTTTTGATAAGTGGAAGTTTTTTAATTATTTATTATTGGTTCATTTTCATTAAAGCGTAAACATAAAAATTTATATCGGAATAAAATTTTCATAGTAAGTTGCATATCAAAGATTTGATCTATGAGTTGGAAAGTACATTTAAAAAGACAAGAAACATTTTTTTTAATGTTTCAATTTTGATGATGTGGTGTATTTGTTAAACTTTAAAATAATAAAATATTTATCAGTTATTAAAAAAGTAGTCAGAATAACTAATATTGTGAAAAGTGCATCCAAACTGTACCGCTTATTACACAAAAAGTTCTAGATGCTTACATAAAATAACTTTTATTGTAAAAAATATTGATGTAGTTAAACTTTATTTTGACTTTTTAAATCCATAGGTTATTTATTAATTAAATGTCTTCTTAGGTGAAGGGCTTGAAACCCATGGATTATAATCTTATGGACTTTTATTGGTATTATTAAAATACTAAAAAACGCAATGTCTCTTTTGAGTCACATTTTATACAAAAACTTAATTTTTTTATCTGGGGCATAATAAAAATCTTTTTCAAATGAAATAACATTATCTGTATATTTAAGTTTTTCGGAAGCCAAAAAATGCACGAATGGAGGTAGAGCTTTGATGCTATTAGATTTCACACAGTTGGTTTCCAAATTTGAAGGTATGACATCGCTGAGACCAATGCCTCATCAAGACTTTGTGTCAACTTATATAAAGGCATATTATTTACCAGAATTGAACGTTGAGTCATGGATAAAGAATCATACCGTAAGTAATAGACTATAATTCCTTAGCTTTACAAAACTTTTTTAATTTCTTGGCATATCTACTTATGTAATATTAAATGTCCGGACAAATTTTGTCATGCTTATAGTTTTTCAAACCATGAATAAAACTTTCTTTGATGGCACTCAACACTTAGATCTACATTAAAGTAAGAAGAAAATAACTCAAATTTTTGTTGTTGTATTGTAGATGCTTGAGTCCCCAATCAGTAAGTTTGCTTTAACTCTTTCCGTATCAACTTCTTACTAAATGTTTATCTCTGTAAATAATTTGATACTAACATTATACTGTGTAATTGATAAGTATAATTTATAAGTGATTAGGCTCTTTCATGTTGTAACTGACTTTTAATAATATTATTTATTAAAATAGTTAGTATATTACTGTCTGAAAAACGATAAAGACAAGTTTTATCGTTAGTTTTCTTACAAAATTCCTTGTTTCTTTGAACTTGAGTCAAAACATGTATTATTCTCTAACTGGTTATGAACAAAGAATACAGAACTACAAAAGATAATAAAACATTTTTAATCAGCTTATTGTTCTGCTTGAAAAATTACAAGGGACTTTTTAATGCTGGTTTTTAAATTTTATCAATATTATTAACGAAAGTATTAATATATAATCAAACGTACAAAAACAGTTGAAGTAGAAATAATTGAATTTAACACTACTTTCGTTTTTAAAGTTTCAAAAAAGATAAGTGTAAGATCTCATAACTAAAATGGTAGGAATTTTAAAAAATGATGTAGACCAACTTTTATTATTCTTTGTCATGGTAACAGCAGATCTTTAAAGATTTAGTACATTGGTTAAAAAAACATAAAAGTAAGATTTGTCTTATATAAGGTAAGCACTAATCAATGCGTGTGAGCAACAGTGTAATAAATATGGGTAGACGGATACTATTTAATATAAGATCTCAATACAATATTATGGTTTTTTTTTAAACTAAGTAAAAAGTTCTTTTTTTCCGTTAATGCGTAGAAACACTAGGGAAGGTAGTCATAGTTCTTATTCAATATAGAAATAAAAATGAAAATTACAAAATAATTTAACGTTTCTGAACTTAACCATTACGATTTATGTAACGACCAAATGGATTGTGAATTTTCATTTATAGTGACATTGTGAATATATGGAGTTTATCTTAGTAAAGTAGGTAGTCTTTTCAATGACATTCATTGTATACTAGGTGGGTAATGTATAAAAATGTAGATGGTTAAGATAGTACATGTATAACATCAGATTCTTATATTTTTCTGATTCAAGCTTTGAACCGTATGATTTTTATTTACATATTTAATTAACGCACTGATGCATTTAAGTGATTTCGGTCAGACAACACAGAAATACGGTGATGCTCCTGAAGAAACCCATAAAGGTTTTGATCGCTCTCAAGGCTCTTATGGTCAGAGTAGTTCGTGTTTTAACGTTAACGAAAGTGATTCTTTCAGTCTTCCTAAAGATCCTGAGGTTCTTTTAGCGACTGCCGTGGTCTATATGACTGATGCAAATGGGACTTGACTTAGGGTTATAGCCTCGGTAGATCAGTGTTCACAGTCTTTTCTGGTGATGACTTCTTTTTATAGCATTTTGACCCTTCAGTCTAAGAGAACGAATGTTTCTTTAACTAGTGTTGGAGATCAGGTCATGACCGTGTAAAGGTCCGTGCACTTTAGTATAAGGCCTTACTTTGATTCCGACTTTAGTTGTGAAGTTGAAGCATTGGTTATTCTCGAATCTCTTCTTACAAGCATCCGTTGTGTAAGAAGTTACTTGATTTAAGTCACTTATCTGGATTAGAATTAACCAACCCAGACTTTTACGGTCTTGATAAAATTGACATGCTACTTGATGCATCGGTTCATTAAATCATTTTTAATAATTCAATGAAAAAGGGTAATTCTAATTAACCAATTATTTCTTCTTCCAAACTAGGTTGGCTTTTATCTGGTCCCATCAGTGACCCATTAATTTCAAGGTCAGGCCATCCAGTGACTATACATGTTGCTGACGTACCCAATCTGTACGAACTTGTTCAGAGATTTGGGTTAGTCGTGGAGCCCTTGGCGAAGCCTAGTTTGATTCCTGAAGACTCCAAGTGCGAAAACTATTTTGCTTTCACACACTTACGACTACCGAATGGTCGATTCTCAGTGAGACTGCCCTTTAAGTTAACCTCGGTAAATTTTTAAGTACTAAGGAAAATCTCCTACCAGTCCGCCGTTGCTATGTATATTCAATTGGAACTGTGATTTTAAAGAGACGCTAAGCTTCATGCTGCCTATAAAACATTTATGTCTGACTATCACACTCTTTGGCATGTGAGGAAAGTCTCCAATTCTAGTCTCGTTGCTTATTACTTACCTCATCACAGTGTTTTTAAGACTTATGACTCTAACCATAAGCTATGGGTTGTTTTTAATGGTTTGTTTAAAAGTTGAAGTGAAATTTCTCTTCATTCTATGTTGCACTGTGGACCTAAATTGTTTTCAATCCTTTATGAAATAATACTTAAGTGGCGTTTTCTTCTACCATAGACGTGGAGAACATGTTTCGCCAAGTTTCTGTTCATCGAGATGATCAAATTTATCAGGAAATTTTTTGGGGATTGGAAACTTCTGACCACTTAGAAACTTATTTGTTAACCACCGTCATTTATGGACTAGCTTGACCCCCCTTACCTTGCTATCCGTGTAACCAGACAGCTTGCCTTTGGTCACCTCAAATCCTTTCCAAACGTAGTGAAAATAATAATGGAAGAGTCTTATGTTGATGACTGCTTATCAAGTGATCACTCTCTATACGAGGCTTAATATAAGTGTGCAGAGATGTTAGAGTTGGCTAACCTAGGTGAGTTCATCCTCAAAAAATAGTATTCAGCTTTTCCTAAAGTTTTTTCAGAACTTCCCAAGGAATTTGTAGTTCAACAACCCTAAGATCTGAAGGAAAACCCTGATACAGTCACTGTCCCAAGTTTATCTTGGAATCCTAGCTGCGACGAATTTCGATTACAGTATTCAATAGGTGATAACGTAGCGCCTTGGTCCAGAAGGTCTGTTTTGACTAGGTTAGCAAAATTATTTGATCCACTTGGTTGGTTTTCCCCAGTTCTTATTTTAGTAAAAATTCTTTTTCAGTCTCTTTGACTCTGATAAATATCCTGGGATCACCCCTTACCTGAATCTGTTGTCACTTAATGGACTAAGTGGCTTCACAAAATCCTTCAAGTGATTGGAGTCTCTATACCTTGTTGGAACCTTTTTTCCCCAACGATGAAGTTCTAGAAATATACGGTTATGCCGATGCCTCGAAACTAGCCAATGCTGCCGTAGTCTGTGTATGAGTCGTGACAGATGGAGAGGTGTATGTTATACTACAGCTAGCCAAACAAAGGTTAGCCCTATAAACACTTTAAGGCTTGAGCTTTGCGTAGTGCAATTGCTTTTCGAAATTGTTCAACACTTCTCTGATTGTTGTTTGCTTGGGAACATTCCAGTTTACTTCAGGACTGATTCCTTAAACGTGTTACATTGGCTTAATGCTCCACCCTCTAAGTGGTTTGTGTTTGTTGCCAATAGGTGCTCAAGTATATTTGATGCGATTTCTTAAGCTGAGTGGCACCACGTGAAGTCAAAACAGAATCTCGCTGACATAGCTTTGCACGGTATAAGTCCAGGCCTTTTTGCTAAGCAATTATAATGGTTCAGTGCGCCTAACGTTCTCCATGAGCTTGGGCTTAAGTACCCCAAGCTGAAGGTAGAAACTTGTGATGTCCTTCCTTCTGTTAATCTTTTGATTTTAGATGTAAGCAAGAGACCTCAAACCTTTGTTAAAGACTTGTACGGTCGCTACTTTAAATGGAAAAGGTTGTTACGCGTAACGTCATTCTGCCTTCGTACAGTTTACCGATGTATTGATAAATTAACTCATAAAAGCTCTAATGACTTTGTGGAGCAAGATGAGAGAACTCGACCGGCCCTGTCCTTTATTTCTCTAGTTAACTATTTGGAACCCTTTTTAACGAGCTTGAATCAAAGAGAACTGGAAAGCGGTACTCTTTTTTTAATATACTCTTATCGGCAACGCCATTTTACTCCTAACTTAGCTGTGCTTCGTCGAAATCAAGACCGGATCCTTGATGAGCTAGAACCTCTGCCCTCTGCAAGTCGTTTACATAAGTTGATGCCCTTTATCAAAGATAGTCTTCTGCGAGTCGGTGGCCAACTCAGTAATTCCTTGCTAGATTCAGACGCCAAATATCCTCTGACTCTTAACGGTCATGATAAGGAGGCGTGAAAATGGTTCTGATGATGCTCAGAAGGAGAGTCTGGATCTAACGTGGTCGTGAGATATTACATTCCGAGTTGAGTCGTTGTTTCACCTGCAAAAGGTATAAGGCCAAAATCTAAACTTAATTAATGAGCGACTTAACTTGCCTTATTTTAGGGTTGCTCCTACTTCTCCTTTTGAAAAAACTGAAGTGAATTATGCTGGCCCTTTCCCAATTCAACTCTCTAAACACTGAGGAAAGGGCATCGTCAAGGGTGACGTCGCGGTGTTCATTTGCATTGCCACCAAGGCTGTGCACTTAGAGCCTGTATGGGACTCTACCTCTGATTCCTTTACTGGCACCTTTTACTGTTTTGAGCCTCGTCGAGTGCACTGACTTGTACTCTGATTAAGGGACTAATTTCATTGGTGCTGACAAGGAATTGAGAAGAATGTGGACGGCGCAGGGCCAGTCTGGCATCCTCTCCGAAAGGTTATCATTTTTAGGCACTGACTAGCACTTCAATCCTCCATCTGCACCCCACTTTGGTGAAATTCTGGAGGCTGCAGTCAAGTCCACAAAGTTTCATCTAAAACGCACTGTTGGGGACTAAGTCCTTACATCTGTTAAATTTTGAACTCTCCTTTGTCATTAAGTCCTGTCTGAACTCTCGACTTCTATGCTTTCTTATAAATGATATGAATAATCTGAGTCCCCTCGCTCTGGCTCACTCGATAACCTTAAGACCTTCATACAGTTTGCCAGAGCCCGACATTTCTTTGGATGAAATGTCTCCTCTCTACCGCTGGAAAATAATCACGCAATTTGTCCAAGTTTTTTGGAAGTTTGGTCTGCAGAGTACCTCCATACTCTTTAAACTTACTCTAAATGATTATTCTCGCAAAGATCTATGCATATAAGCGATACTGTCCTTATTAAAAATGAGTTGACCTCACCCAGGAAGTGACCTCTT